ATCAATTAATTCATTAACATGATCATTTAAATCGTTTAAATACACAGATATATATTCATTTAAATAGATTGATTTTAATTTCGTTATTTTATTATTAGTGGTTCGAGTTTGATAACTTGTTTTTATTTTTCGTCGAAGTATACGATGTTTCATGCCAAGTCGTAATAATGGATCTGTACGACGACATGATAAATATTCATCATCAGATGTTGCGCGCTGTAAACGGTTTATTATTTCTTTTAATGGATTTAATAAAATACGTACATGAAGTAAATCATGTTTAATTTTATAAATTGAATGAAGTGTAGTTAATGTTCTTGATCGTACATCTGCCATAAGAATTGCATCGAATTGACTAATACGATTAGCTATTTCTTCCATTACCAACATATATCTAAATGTAGTAGCAATAGGAATAAGTTTTTGGTTTTAATAAGTAAACAAAAGAATTTCAAATCATCTCTGTTGAACAACGTTTAAGATGAGATCAATAGTATTCGACCTTTTCGTATTGAGTAGAAATATCAATAAGAATTTCGATAGATTAGGTATTAATAAGAAATTTTTAAAACATTATTTAAACCGTTTCAGTTAGCATAGGCTAATTAATGAACGCGAATTTCTCGAACATTTATGATCAAGATAAATCATATGGACGATAGATATTTTCATCGAAATTTCTTCAAAATCTTCAAATCATTTTCGTTTCTAGGAACATATTTCTCTATGCCAGAAAATATTAAAGCAAAAATCAGTCGAGTAGCTTATAATATTATTTTATAAAATTTTAATATTACTATTTTCAACTATATATAATGCATTCTGTAACAGTAAGAACAATGACACATAGTTTATGTGTAGATGAGTAATAAACATAATGAAATGTCTAATCAGAATCAGTATCTTCTACGAAATTGATTAATATAATAGAAAATCAAGTATTCATAAAGTGAATGAGATTTTGAAGGACGTGAATGTTTCCATTATCGAAACATCGATCATTTTCTACGAAGGAATCAACTAAATCACGAAGTTACAATAAATTCCTTTTTTCGAATTCATACTGTCTTGAGTTATTCAATCGTAAGTTTTACAATTTCCTTGATCATATTTTAATCAAAAAAATAATGTTTAATAGGACAAGAAGGAAAAATTTTACTATAGTTATCAGTCAACACATAATAGATTTATCATTACGTTGAACATCATAGTTTGTTTTCATTCGCAAAAGGACACATTTTTCACAGTAACTCTAATTTTTCGAAATCGATCGGATCCACTATACGACTGAGCTATTTACTATTATAATTTTTCTACGAATATACGGACTAAAGTGACTTTTATGCTATATCAAAAGCCTAAATCCATTTCGTATTTACTAACTATTCAAGAATTACAAAATTTGAAAAAAGTACCTTTTAATTCGGTTGCTGGTGCTTAGATAGTTAACTAACTGGAATTACTTTCTTTCGATGATTCTTTTGTGCAATTTAGGTATAATTTTATTCGTTTCGCTAAATAAAAATATACAAAATTTTTTCTATTGTAAATAAATCTTATTGATGGCAGGCTATGTTCTTCTGCTCGAATGAAAATATCTAAATATCCCTCATCGTAGGATTTTTCTCTTTTGTTTCTAAATATACATTTGACTTTGACTTGAGATTGGATCATAGACAATAACATTGTACTTGATACTTGTTTGGTGCAATAGACATAGAAGTATATGTAAATGTATGAAAGAAACTTATCGATAATGAAAAAAATGAAAATCATTGAAGTGTCCACAAGTATCATCAAAGCATATTACAAGTAAGTCTTGGAGAATGTCAACGATCATCAAAACATTTTAAACGAAGTTTCTCAGTATCTGTGTTAATATCTAAAACTAATCATTGGTACTTCTACAGTATATTTTTTTTCAATTTCTATTTATTTATTATGGTTGGATTGACGTTATAAGTCTTTGCTCAAAAGATTTAGAAACATAAAATATTATGTATTGAGTCCATTTCATTTTATATATATATATATATATGTTATCTCGATCGTATTTGAATGTTTCATTAGATTACTTTCAAATATGGAATATCTAATTGAACAGAAAGCATCCTATTTATGATAAAACCTCTTGAACTTGCAAATTTTAAAATTCTATAAGAATAAATTTTCGTCAATACCTGTCAACAATATCATCAAGTAGACAATAAAAAAGATAATCAACATTGAACTGTCTTAAACGATGATGTTGAGGAGATTGAGAGCTTTCCTCATTATTTTGTTGTTGTTGTTGTCGTCGAAGACGATTACGAATGGTTTGAAAAAAAGGTTCAATATTATCAAAAGATTTTTCTTGAAATGTAATTAATAAATTTTGTGAACAATTTAAATAAAATGATATTTGTTGTTGTTGAACACGATGACCATTCCATGTTAAAATTTTCATTAAAAGATATATTGAACAATTATCATGAAATAAATTTAATTTCATATATGGTGTTAATGTTGCTATATCTTCCATTGTTAATGGATGAATATTAAAATATTCACAAAGAATTTTAATACCCTTTGGAAAATCAACACAACTACAATTAATAACTTCAATCCAATAATATCTAGTTTTAGATTTTTTATCATTTTCTAATTCATTTGTTAATAAATTAAGGAGTTCATAAACTGATTGAAAATATTTTTCTTCATATGAATATTCATTATATAAATAAAGAATAAAATCAACTCTATCTGTTGATAATCCAATTGAAAATCGACGACGTATAACATCCACATCAGCTAATGGCATTGATTTTCATATAAATATGTGTATATTCTTTTTAGTTACAAAATATGCTATTATTGTTTAGAAGATACAAATACGCAGATATTTTTTTTTCTTTTTATATATTTATGATAGTTATAAATAATTAACAACACAAAACGTGCGCTTTTCTTTTTTATTCATGACCTATAGCTATCAATACGTCATCGAATAGTATAACTATCACGTATTTTGTCTATTCATCGGTATCTCCTTGACTTGTTTACTTGATACGTTTTGTTTTTGTAAACAATGTCAGAATTTTACCGAATAACTCTTGCCTTAAAAGAAAGAAATTATCGAAACTAATGACACTGTAGAATTATTTGTGCTTTAAAAGATGCTATTCCTAATGCAACTGCTAAAGGTTGTAATTTTTTATTATTACCGATGCATATTTAAAAAGGCCTAAGAATTAGGCTTACAAAAAAACAATACTTATAATTTTTGTAAACATAATTGAAGAATCACAAAATGTTGAATTTAAAAAAAACTGAACCTTTAATATTTATATGTTTTATTCTGAAATTAATAAATTTTAGACAAGTTCAATCATATGACACATTCGTAAGGTTTCTTCGACTACTAGACAGATATTTGGATTGATGACGAGTGTTTATGGTCAAGACACTTATGAAATTATTAAAATTTCAATGGTCCTAGAATAAACAATAGGTTGAAGGGCTGTCATGATCAATCTAATGAAAATATTGCTACCACTAATCCAAACTCATATGCAGTTATTGATGAATTAACAAAAATATTATGCATTCAACATGGCTGCAGTTAAACAACTTGACAACAACAAGAACAATCCTTCACCAAATACAAAAAAGCAATAAATTTTTCTCGAATTCAACAACTTAATACAATAATATTCTATTGTCATTATTTTATATATTATTGAATTATATTCTCCTTGTGATTTTTACATCTCTATTATAATGTTTTATGTTTTTTTGTTGACACAATGATACTTTTGGAAAATTAATTATATAGTCTTAATTCTTTGATCAAACAAGATTCGAACTGATTATAATGAATTGAGAACATTTATAAAGAAAAACAAAATTTGTTACGGTTTTCTATTGCAAATAATAATCTAATAATTTAATTCGATTATTTGAGATCTGCTATTCAGAATAATGTTAGAACAGGTTTATTTCTTCCCATGTCATTTATAGATAATCAGAGTATGACTTTTTTATGGATCTTTTTCTTGCTCTCATCGATTTTCTATTTAAATAATTTAGTTCTAGTGCAATGAAAATCTCGAATAATAACTTAAACAGTCTAATCTTAGATTAATCTTAATATATAAATAATTTTTATATCAAATTCATGTGATCAGACATAAGTAACATGTTTCTTGATTAACATCGAGAATAGCCCAAAATATATGTTCTGAAAAAGACATGTTTAAGTATCTCCATCATATTTTGTCTAAATAAATGTACTGTTTTTTTCTCATTATTAATAAGAGACAACTTGTAGATGACAAATATTATCTTGAAGTATTACTATTGACATGAATATAAACTTGCGATCCTTGACTACGTAGTTATGAAAACAAACAACATATTCTAAATACTTCACTTAATTACTTCAGCTGTTGATGGCAATAACTTTCAGGTTATATCATTTAATAAGCTAGATCCATTATGGTAGAAACTTACAATCAAACGGTAGTTGTTTGCAGCGCTGGTTTGAAAAAAAAAGAATTTTTTTTGCTGCTTATTATAGCCGTTAAATGAATATATATATTCATGTGATTTATTTTTCAAAAACATATACTTGATCAACATAAGGCAAATATATACAAAATTTTCCTCCCAGAAAAGTAATCATTTTTGGTCATTTTGTAATATGAACGAAATTTTGACTTTAATAAATATCAAAAGTCGATTTTCTTTTTTCTTACGTCAAATAGTTCATATCAAAATTTAGAATAAATCAAAATGATAACTTTTAAGGTTTCATAATCACGTTTGAAAATTTCTCAATTACGTAATTTTAAACGAATTAAATTCATCATCCAATTTCAAAGCTCATTCTTTGCTTTGTCTAGCAAACAAAAAAAAAAGTGAAACGTATAAAATTCTTAGAATTGATCTAGCAGAACACTAAGTACATTTTTTTAATCAACACTTCATATCCTGATTCAATATCATTGATATTAAGTGAAAGTATTGTCTGTCACGTCAATAAAGAATCACACATTTTTTGCAAAGATACACACATAAATTGAACGAAATTAACCAATGAAACAACCTGTATTCTTTTGATTAATATGAAATATCACCAAAAAAAAGAACTCTATGTCGCCTTCTTAATATTAATCTAAAACGGCTTCCGCTGTTCTCATTACTGCCTTGATCTACATGCTGGCAATCATACGATTCTCTTTTTTTCTCAAGCTTTTTTTCTTCTTTTTTTTCCTTCTTTCTTCTTTGCATCATCGTCAATTTTTAATTCATTTGATCATTGCTCGCTGTCGTAGTAGTGTTTTATTCGCAAAAAATAAGAGAAAACGAAGAGATCCATATATATGTACACATATCAAACGATTGTATATGAGTATTGGTTTGATATTTCGACACACAATACATACATAGAAGCTTTATAGACAACATCAAATTGTTGTACATACATTTCGTGCATATACATATATATAAGCTTGCTATAACTCCTTTCTATCCATCAAACATTGACGCGACATCAACTGGCCTTTTTTGCACATACACACGCGAATAACACAGCAAGATATGTATACATTAGACCATAGTACGACGCTGTCATCATCACAACTTCTCGTTTTACTTCTTTCTATATCAACATCGTACACTGTAACTACTACGGTTTGCGTTAGCGCATGGTGGTAATAGTTCGTCGATTGTGTCATTTGTCAAATAGAAGATACGCAATATATAAAGAGAAACGACTTTTTCTTCTTTATATAAATCAATTATAGAAGAATTTTAACTTAATTTTACAATGCCTGTTTGGAAAATAAATTGTTTAAAAAGTGAAGATGGTACAAATCCATCAACGTTATCATCAACAACAATAGATGAAACAAATAAAATTGAATCTATATCATCATCTATTGATCATCAAAATTCAGGTAAATTTTTCTTTTTTTTGTTTTTTTGTTATATATTCTGAAGTTTGATTTCTAATTATTTCATATCATGGGAGATATTTGCTTATACCAATTTTCTTTCTAGTGTTAATTTTTTTGTTGACAGATAATATTTGATACAAGAAAGACGTTTAAATAAAAGAAAGACAGACAAAGCGATATTATTTTGCTGCATATCTAGCATAAAGATTATCGTGCTAGAAATATATATAGATGGCTTAATCGATCATCGTTCTAGTTGAAAATCTTACTGAATAAACGGTTGACTAACGCTATCATTACTGTCTTTTTTTCACTATGTCGTTCTTGTCAATTTATATTGATGAAAGTAATAAGTGACTGTCATTTATTCCCAAAGGAAAAATTTATTGATTGTATAATTAATTGTAAAATAATTTATTTATATTATTTCTATTTTCTAAGATATTCCAATAGCAGTAACGGCTGTTGATACTCATAGTTTACCTTCAACTCCATCATTTATAATCCGTCGTGAACAAAAACAACGATATAATCAACATTCACTGATTCGTAAGTTTAGTCAGATTATGATTCATTTTTTTTTTGTGTTTTTTTGTATGTTAATCTTGATTATCATCTAAAAGAAGAATATTGATGATGTGATAACATCAATGGTTATACCGACAAAAAGAAACCGATAGCTGGGTCGGCAACAGCTGAGATAGATATTCGCTATTTTTGTTAATATTATTGTTTTTTTATTCGAAAGAAGCAAAAAAGAAGAAAAAAAAAGCATACACAAGCATGCATCGCTCGTATGATAATCAACAATAAAATGCATTGGTGAAAGTAGATAAGAGAAATCGAAGGTTATACTTCAATATGTAAATGTGCTTGTATAGAATAAATTTGTCTAACAATTGATAATGTCTAAAATGATTGATGTTCAATTAGTCTGGTAAGCGCCCATTGGCACCTTGCTTTTATCATTCCCTTTATGGCATGAGAAAAAAAAAGCAAAGATAAAAATGAGACGTATACTTCTTTCTTCTCTTCTTCTCTATATGTCGTTGTTTTTTATGGTTTATGTCGCCTCGACAGCATGGTAGTAGTAGTGAGTGATTTATTTTCATTCATGTACTCTTCCTTTTTTTGTCTTACACTCACTTTTCGTCTCTGAGTGTTATGTTGTTGTTTTTTTTTCTACTACTTCTTCTTCTTTTTCTTATACCGTATGTTTGTACATGCCATACGAATTCGGTAGGAGATAGACAGAATAAAATGAGAGACGTGCATTCATACAGTCAGGCATTTTAACATTCTTTACATCTTCTTGCGAGTTGATCTCACATCATAATTATGATGTGATGTGATGATGACGATGAGTATGATGATGATGAAGTCGGCACATGTGTCAGCAGTTGTGTTGTGCTACTAGCAGTGATAACCTTCAACTAGATACGACACGATACGCCGAATGGTGTTAGTGCCTAGGAGCAATTTCTTATATATATACATTTATTCATAGTTATAATTTCTGTTCTACATGATCTTCATCTGTGCAACATGTTTATAAACAATACTTATTACTTAGATTATCTAATAGAAAAGTAATTAAGCAATGAGTTGGAGCCATCGTTTAGCTACACTTGAGCCATCACCATCATTTGCTACCGTCACACCAATTACTACTCCTACGACAAATAATAATTCTTCTCGTTTATCTCCATTGGAACATCGTTTGGCTAAATATCGTTCATTACCACTACTATGGCTACGTACATGTGCCTCTTCGAATCATCAACATAGACGACGTACTACGGCCGCTGGTAATATTGGTAAAAATACGATTCCTACTTCTCTTGGTGATTTTGGTGAGTTT